TAGACATGGGAACTAAAACAGCAGTGCATACTGGACATGGTCTCATCGTTACATTCCTGTGTAGACGTGGGAACTAAAACAGCAGTGCATACTGGACAAGTGGAACACACACGTAATATACACCCTAGGGAAGTCATTAGGTGACCAATAGTAGTAACAACTCAAAGGAACGCAGGCAGGCTCAGGAGGTGCAGACCTCATCGCGGGAGCTTCACTACACACGGACTGACACCGGGGATTAGGAGCTAAACAACATTACAAGATTTAGGAGTTTCTGTTCATGTACTGAATAGATGTGTTGCTAATAATAGTTTATGCAGGATGTTGAATTCCAATTCAAAACTTAAGCCCAATGGTAGGATGTTTATGTTTGGCTGGCATACATACAAAGCCTTGGGATCAATCCCCAGTACCACAAAATAGTTTAGTTTAAAAGAGTCAAATACAATCAGACATAATAACTATTCATCTCCTAAGAGCCTCAGAACAACGATAGAGAGTATGTCTGCTGGCAAGCAGATTGATTGAAGTATGAACTAAGAGTCTTAATAATAAAAAGACAGTGTGTCTGTAACTGCCAATTTCACACAACAACCTTATATCACTTGATAAAAGTCTAAATGAGGATGATAAAAGTCTAAATGTTTAGAGCAGGTTGGCCTTTGGGCATGCCTAGTGGGAGTTAGACACATGTGTGTGCAGGGTGTGTGTGGGCGGTGAGTAGGTTGTGTCTGGACTGCCTTAATTAAGGTTAGATGAAAAACCTACTCAGAATGGGGATGACTCCACCGGCTAGGCCTTGACAGTGTGAGAGTAACGGAGGCTAGCCAACAGCAAGCGCTCACACCTTTACTCTCTGCTCTTCCTGTGGCGCGACAGTTTGTTTCTGTCTTGACTTCCCCATAGTAATGGATTATAATCATAATTATAAGCCAAGAGAGCCCCCTCTCCTCTGCCCTGTATTGCTTCTGGTCAGGATCATTTTATCACAGCAACAAAACTGAAAGGAGGACAGCCAGCCAGGCGGGATGATCTGTGCTGGTGACATAGTGGATGCCAGCTGCTCCTGCACACTGTGGCATCAGTGAGGGGTAGGACAGCAAGAGATGGTACGGTCAATACCCAACTCTAACACCGTAGCCAGAGGCTCTGCTGCTTCTCCAGGTTCTGCACCCTTACCTTAACTAGCAAGCCATTCTTGTCGAACATCCAGATCTTTCTCTGTGCCTCCTCTTCTGAGAGACCACTTTCCATCATTGATACAACTATAAGATTTGCAATTCCAAGTGCAGCCTGCCCAGTAAACACATTTAAAAATCAAGACTAGATTAGGAGGTGATGCCCACTTGCTTTGTTCCTATGTAAGTAGATTCTTTGTCAGTTCTCGCTGAACATAAATTACTTATTTTATAAGAGGTCATGACTCTCGTACCATTTCAGTGAATTCTAAATCTCTTGTAACCTTCAGTAAATGCCAATATGCTGTCTTACTTTCTTTTCAGATAGTCTCTTTATATAGCCCTGGCTGTCCTAGAACTCACTCTGTAGACCAGGCTGGCCTCAATCTCACCTCTGCCTCTACCTCCTGAGTGCAATAGGATGAAAGGCAATGTGCCACCACTCCGGCCAGTCTTACTTTACAAAAGAAAACAGAGTATTAGCTTTAAATTGTAAAAAGCTTTAAAAACTTACCTCTCCTGCTCCAAGAAATAAGATTTTGTGTTCTGAGACTGGTTTATTAATAACTCTCTGGGCCGCAAGAAGACCGGCCAAAGCAACTGCAGCTGTCCCTGTAGGAAAACCCAACATTTTAAAAATGAAACAAACAAAACACACATGATAAATGCTTTAAAAGAGGGAAAATCCTTTTGTTTTAGCTTTACCTTGGATATCATCATTGAAGGTACAGTATTTGTGTTGGTATTTTTTTAAGAACCTGAATGCATTATGATTTCCAAAGTCTTCAAACTGAATGAGTGTGTTCCGGCCATATCTAGAAACAGCAAAGTCTTAATAACTTTGTTGAAAACATCACTACTAAACAGATTTCCTACTTACTGTTTCTATTACTAGAATCTGAATGTAAGTTATCATACTAGTTCAAGACCATGAGTTTCAGAGCTTCTGAAAGTCTAGAGCCAAACTGCACACACTGTTACTTCAAGGACCAGGCAGTACAAACAAGCCTATGGCCATTCCCTGTATATACTATTTCCAAAGGCCTAGGAGGGCGTCCAGTGCATATGAGCACTAAATAACTCTCAAAAGGAACTCTTTCTGCAAATTATAGAGTAAATCTCTGAAATGGATGCATTTGGTTATGTAACAGGAAGACACATTGAGAAACAACTGCCAGCTGAGTTTATTTTGGTGACCAGCAGTAAGAAGGGAAGGCCACTGCAGGTATTGCAGCATACACGCGCGTCCTGACACCAGAGGGGCTAAAGGCAGGAGGACCACAGGTTAGAGGTCAGTCTAAAAAGCACAAGGGAGACTGACGCAGACAAATAAACCAAGGAAGAGGAAAAGCAGAAAAGACTTGAAAGGAGTTGTACTGCGTCTTCATCCTGGAAATGAAGCAGCAGCAGCAAAGAGGGGGTTAAACAAGGCCTTGAACTTTCAACAGCCAGTGTATGTATCAGGGTTCACACTGAAGGACAAGGAGAAGCTTGCTAAGCCAAGTAGGGGACAAGGGACTTGTGTGTCTCGTGTTGAATTCCTGAAGGCTGTAGAGGGAAGAATTCACAGAGATAACCTGCCGGTGATGTCATGTGCCTGAGCTGAGGAGATGAGAGAGATGAGAGATGAGAGAGACTTAGCAGCCGCTAAGAAGTCTACAGTGACACAGGAAACGTGAAGCACACGCCATGGGATGCCAGACAACGCAGACTGCACAGCACCTGACCGGTGTAAAGAAAATAGCTAAGAAAATGCCACCTTGTCCAGGGAAGGCAAGTGAAGGAAGAAGGACCAGAGGACAGTGCGTGAGGAGACAAGAGTTCAGCCCTAAATCTGCCATTGTCTTTACCTAGAGTAAGGAATTCATTTCTGAGTATTTTGTTACCTGTAATTTTAAAAGTTGAGTTTGCAAGATGGTTTCCAGAATTTTACCCCTTGAGGTAAAAGTGCTTGCCTACTAAGTGTGAGGACTGAGTCCAAATACCAAGAATCCTCATAAAAGCTGGATCCAGTGAGCATATGTAACCTAGCGCTCTTACAAGGAGATAGAAAGAAGAGGAGGGGAGTCTCTGGCAGCTTGTGAGGTAGCTAGCAGCTTAAAGAGTATGCTATATAAGAGTATACAGTAGAAAAAAAAATGAAGAGACCCTGACTCAAGGTAGAAGCAGGGATGGACACCAGAGGTTGTCTTTAGACTTCCACATGCTTGCCTTGGTACATGGGCCATAAACAGAGATGCATATCCATGCACAACACACACATACACACTCACCACACACACCACACACTGACTACAGACAGGCCATAAAGATGAATAATCTGGGTTTTAATATATGGCTATAGCAAACCATCGGGGAAAAAAAAAGTATGTAAGACATTTTATAAGACGAATCCTAGTATTAGATGGAAATGAACTAGAGAAACTGGAGAAGGGCTCACAGGAAGCCAGGAGAGCTGAAGGCAGGTGTGGTACCAGAAGACACACTTGTGAGGCATGCAAATGTGCACTAGATGATTCTGAGGAAGTGCTGATGGCATGGCTGGCAGGTGAAGAAGGGCCCCTAACAGCACCAAGATAAAAGGTCTGGCAATGGGTGAACGCTGCTGCCATTGTTAGCACTTAGGAATACAGAAGGCAGGGTGTTAGGAAAGAATTTCATTTGAGAGAGAAACAGGATGCTGTAACCGAATTTCTCAAGGCAGGAGAGCGCAGCAGCTGGAAGTCTGGGGGCCACACAGGTGGCTTCATGAGTCACATGCATGAAGGCCACAGCTTATGAATAAGACCACATGTGAGAACTGACAGTCTAGCTCAGTCACTCAGTGCTTGTCTAGCATGGATGAGGTCCTGGGTTCCATTCCCAGCACAGCATCCCATAGATATGTGTATGGAGAGGATCCGTTCATTAGGACCCAGGTAAAGTGCTTGCCAAGCAAGCCTGGCAACTGAGTTCAACCTACAGAGAGGTAGATGAAGACAACAATCTCCACACAGGTGTCCTCAGACCTCCTCATGCACACCGTAACACATATGCACACACCTCCAGTAAGTAAGTAAGTAAGTAAGTAAACAGGTCTAAGAAAACAGGAATAAGTAAGATGTCGAAGCCGCAGGAGAGCTCTGGTAGGGTGGTGGGAATGAGGCCGCCCACGGAAGACTTATGGGAGGTATGCACTGTGAGAGTTTAGGAGCGGGGAATGCACACTTCCTTCCAGATGTCAGGGAATCCCAGCCGGCAATGCAGAACAGAAGCACGTATCACCAGGCATGAAAAGGCCCACAATGTAACCCTTCCTTTGCAGAGGTTCTTCCACACCCTTCAGCTTCCTGGGATACCTGTCAGTAATCGCCTTCATAAACTCATCCATCAGATCATCATAAAGCTGGGAGCGATCTCGCTTCTGATACAAGCCCATGTAAAACGGATCTTTTAATAGTGCCTGTACAAGAAACCGGATGCAAAAATAAAGTCTTTTATTACGTTTATTTACATTAAACATATAAGAGAAAATCTTTAAGAACCTTAACTCACTGTTATTTCTATAAACATTAAAAGCTAAGCTTAAGAAAAGATTAGCGTCTAAAATAATAAGATCTCTCCCCTTATGAATCATCTGCCAATGGGCGGGTGGGAAGGGAAAGACGCACTCACCATATTATCAGTGCCCACGTCGATGCACACAGGCAGGCATTTCTCAGGCTGAATTCCTGCACACGCTGTATACAAACACAGCTTCCCGACTGGAATCCCCATTCCATAGACACCCAAATCTCCAAGACCCAGGATCCTCTCTCCATCAGTCACCACGACAGCCTTTATTATAAACAAAATAAAACAAAAAGTGAATTAACAGCTGCCAAAAGTAGGGCAGAAATGAGGTGCACTTTAAAAAGGATGGATTCTTTTGCTATATTTCTATTTTCATTACAAAGGAAGAATCATTAGTCTAATTTCCAGTATAACCCATGGAGCATACCTAAACTAGGCTTCTGTCTATTATGAGATATTAAAAGAGAATTAATCAGAGATGTTTTTCATCTGACTTTGGTTTGGAAACACAATGAGGGGACAGGAGGACCAACTTAAGTATTCTTCCCATAAATGAAACATGGGAGAAGTGAATTAAAGTCTGAGGTTACCAGAATAAAAAGTCTAGAAACAGTGTGCTCTACTAATCTAAGTCAATCAGAAAAACCTTAGCAACAGTAGGGAGAAAACGACATAGACTTTTACAATACATATACCTACATATAAGTTTGATATTGATGATATTGTAAATTTAAAGTTATTTTTCCTAAACTATGAACTAATGGTTTTGGAAGGCGTAGGGAAAGGGAGAGAGTGTAAAGGTTAGCATAAGATGGCCTAGAATTCCATGTATCAAAGGATCTCGTGATCCTTCTGCCTCCACTTTGAAAGTGCTGGCATTGCCCCTGGCTGAACTCATGGTTCATCATGGCTTACTCTGGTCAAGAAGACATTCATAATAAAGGCAGGAAGATTGCTGTAGTGACAAGCACAAAGCTGCCCAAAGATCTTTAAATAGATTATTCAATTTGCTTCATGAAACACAGTTACATTGACCCTGGCTTATATTTGCTACATTAAAAAACTCTTTTGACAGTGTGGTATTTGCCAAGGATCTAAATCTACATTAGAGAGAGAGAGAGAAAGAGAGGGTGGAGGGCAGGGACACAGCTAACACCCAGAACCAAAGTTCCTCTGTCATCTTTCCTTTTTTGAGGCAGGGTCTTATGTATCCCAGGATGCCATACTGTCAAGCTTCTGACCCTCTTGCCTTTACCTGCCAAGGGATTAAGTGTATCATAGGGATTAGGTCTGCACCAGCACACTTGGTGGAGCATCTAATTTTCTCTACCAGGAAAGTAAAGCTGGAGGAGCTATGATCAGTCTTGCCTTGTACACTGGGGTCAATGTCTTTCTCAGGGCCAAGCACTGTCCCAGTGATCCACCTCAGAACGATGCTCTCAGCATCTCCTTAGAACAAAGCATACATTTGCGTGTACATAGTGTAAATAAGCAAAGAAACAAGGGAAGCTTGTCCTTGGCAACTCAAGAGTTAACTTACAAGGAGAAAGAAGACATTGTGAAAAGGAGGGTGTGCTCTTAGTACCTTAACATGATTTTCTGGCCAGTTATCCACAATTGATCTAACATGACCTCTGTCTGAGATTGAAATAAACAATCCCCTGCAATAGAACAAAAACACCTTTGCATTTCATGACAGTATTTTGGGTTTTTTTCCCTACGTTTTTGTCCGTAATTGGGAAATTTAGATATTTAGATCAAAATTAAGATACGGTTTAATTTCCAAGCACTGATTTATTTCTAAACATTTCAACTTTTCAAATGATAATTATGTTGCTTACAGAACAGCTATAGCAAAGATTATTGTTAACTGATGTGATTAATATCCCCAAAGAGAAATGTGCCCACATTATAACCATCTAAGTAAAAAATAAAGTAAATATTCCTACATTGGGTACAATGGATTAACGGTATGATCCAAAGCTCTGCCCCTGTCAGTCCTCATCTGTGGTGCATATGAGAGTCACAACAGGAGCTTTCTGAACTACACCTGGGCCCACGCCTGCCCGACTGAACCAGACACCGAGGGTGAGGTGTGGGCTGCATGCTTTCCAGTTTCCTTTACTCCTTTAACTGAGTTGAGAAACACTTTCCAATAAGAAAGCACACACGTGCGAGGCTATCTCCTGGAAATGTTTTACATACTTTGGTAACAGCACCTTATGTGTTAGGTTAAACGGCGCTTTTCAGGGTCTGCCAGGGAGTATCTGCCACAGAAGCAAAAGGTGATCACTAACTTCAGGGTGCTAAATCTTCATCATCGGAACTGTGTGGGGAGAAAGTTGGCAAGGGTCAGCCTTTTAAATAACTCAACGGGTGCATCCTATGCACTCTGAAGTTGAGAGTAGCCTTCAGATGCTAGGCGGGGGCTGAGAGGCATGTTTAACCCTGTCTGAATGCCTACACTGATATCAATGCATGAGCTGGCCATGGGGAAAGACAAGGTTAAGGTAAACAACAGATTAGAAGGGGCTGAAAAACTCAAATAAAAATAGTCTCAGATCTAGCACATCACTTCCTCCCACTGGTTTTCAACAGGATCAGTCACTCTTGGCTAACAACCAGTCACGCGCTCACTCAAGGACTTGAGGTAGTGGCTCTTGGAGTAAACCTTCCTACTAAAATGTTTGATGTAGTTAGAACAGTCTGAAATGTAAAATTCATGAAAGCTAATTTTTCTTTTAAAGGGGAGGAGGAGAAGCATCAAAAATTAAGGCTGATAAATGAGAAGCCAATCCCAACCTGGCAAACTACCAAAAGGCTTAACAGTGATTATGGATTTAGGGGAGGAGAAAAGTACAGCTACTGTACAACTGCTCTAACAACGGCAATAATTAGTAGGAGCTGATTAACTGAGCTGTGTCTACAAAAACAGGATATGAACACGTTGACGGTTTATTACTATCTTTTAATACAAATTAGGCTTTTATGAGGCAAGAAACCTGGCTGCATAATATTGTAACACAGAAATCTAATTAGATATCACAGAATGATTTTTTTTCTTACACCATAATCAATACATATTTGTATTTAAAATTAAGTCTTACTTAGGTCTCCTAAAGATGTGTCCATATTGACAACAGGCAAGACCAACTGTTGGTGTGTACACAATTGGCATCAGACTTTCAATATCATCTTGCAGTATTCTATAAAACAGTTTCTCATTTCTTTCTTGTATGCCCATTATATAGATGTATCTGAAATTAAGCACAACAAATCACGTCCAAGTTAGCCTGCATCACACTGAAAATTTCAACTTTAGAAAGCTCATCTAAATGTTTAAAACTGAGTTGGCAAGCATGAACGTGCGCGCGGGCGCACACGCGCGCGCACACACACACACACACACACACACTCCTCACAAAAGAATCCACACCAAAACCCTAAGTTATAAATCTGTAACATTGAGAACTAAGAATTAGCAAGACACAGACGTACTTAAATATTAGATGATAACAAGAGAAACAACAGCCACCCTTTGAACAAAGACCTGGAGATGCTAGGGAGTCAACAGAAGGAGGACACACAAATGAAGATGCTAAAGGAAGTGGTGACTCCACAAGCCTGGCCCTGGGGTCCCATGCTAAAGGGTTTAGAATCCAGTTGGGTTTGAAGCATTCTTCCATACATGGAGCAGAAACAACACCGAGACAGCACGTGTCAAATGGGAGGCCATTCTTAAGTTTCTTCTCCTACCTTTCCCTACCACAGTCTAGTATAGGTCCTCAAGCCCTAAAGCATACACCTGCAAGTATCCCTCCAATAATATGGCTGTTTCTTCTCCCCACATCCAGTCTAAACCACTAACTAGTCTGTGTACAGTTTTCCTTCCTTGCTCCAATCTGCCTCATTCCCTCTATACTGACTTATGCTTACCTAGGAGCCCAGGCATCTGATGGTCTCAGAACAGTCCCTTACTCTTGTCTTTTAAGGTAGCTCAGAGGCCAGTCCCCTCTCCTACCCCCCACTTCCACACTCAATTTTCCTGTGTTCTGCTCCCACACTATCCTATGATTTCTTATGTGTTCAACTTCACATTGCTTTTAAACTGTTTTTTAAAAAATCCTAAACTGGCCCACGATAAGGGAGTGGTTATCGGTAAAGAGAGGCTATATGCGTAGGCTATATGCAAATGTTCTCTCTTACACTGGGCAGCTACAGTGAGCCAGAGCTTCCAGGGAGCCATGCAACCAAAGGTCAGAGATTTGCTCTGCAGTGGACTGGGCTGCTGAGCTGTATTTGATAGGTTGGGGGTACTAAATACACATTCACCTTATAATATTTTCAATTTTCAAATGGTTTGTTAGAACATAACTCCATCTTAGACTTATGTGTTTCTATATTTTATTGGGTGAATACGTAAGTAAACCATCTATGCAAATGAACTACATTGCTCCTGGGGACACAAATGACATGAATAGGTAGAATAAGATAGAGAGAAGATTTCTCCTCACTGTGGGGAAATAACCAAAAGCAATTAGGCTATGAAACGGAAAAACCAGCTTTCTGAAAGAAAAGTACAAGAGGGTTAAAGAAAAGAAACAGGCATGGAGGGGAGGCTGGGCCCCTCAGGTCACCATGCTGACCTTTAGTCACACTGCTGCTTGCCTCACAGTGATCTTGCTTTACCTAGGGCTCCTAAAGCCTAGGGATGACAGCTGCCCTGAACGCCACACTGACCACAGCCTGACTATTTACCTGACTGTCACTAACAGACAAGCTACTCATGGCCTCACTTCCTAATGTTTTGAACTCTCTAACTCCTTCAGCATGTCTGCGGCTCCCACTTTATCTGGTTACAGCCCATCTACTACTGTAAGCCTCCGGGTCAGTTCTCACTCAGTACTCCCTCATCATCTGCTTATGGCTGCACACATCTCTACCACTGCAGAACCACGGCATGTGTTCCCATCCCAGTCTCATACTCAACTCCAGACAAGCCGACTCAACTTCACTTTACAGAACCCTGAAACAATGCCACCACCTGGGCCGACACTACAGTTCTCCTTTTCTGTAGAAAGGAACACTGCTGTGCACAATGGCACAGCAAATGAGATCCTTACACAAGGCCTCCAGGGGCTGCTTGCTCTCACCCTGTTTGTTTAGGCTGGTTCTCAGGACATAGCCCAGGCTTGTCCTCAACATCTGATCCTGCTCCTTCTGCCTCAGTTTCTCAAGTGCTGCAACACGTGAGAAGTGAGTGCTATGTGCCACAATGCCAGGGTTGCTCTTTTCTAACCTATCTTTGAGGGGCCTTACTTCATAAATGAGTGTCTCTTCCTAACTGAATAGGCTTTCTTGGTCTGACCTTAGCCCTTCCATAGTTTATCTGGGACGTTCATATTCTGTTTCACAAAGAAAACCCGTCAGCAGGCACAGGTTCCGAGCCATCACTAGTACCTTAACATCTGCATTTATCTCCCTCTGGATTAATGGAGCCTTCCTACCTCTGCACTTGAGCCTACGCCTTCCTCTGGAAACCTGCTGTAGCAATTTCTTGGGTGTCTGTTCTGTGCAGCTATGAACATATTCAACCTTTCCCCCAAGTGAGACTATTTAAAACAGAGGTCCACAGGTTTTCTAGTCTAATGTCTTTCCTCCTTCCCACCGGAACTTTTTCAGGGTAGACTACATTTCTCCCTCACACCCACTACTCAGTGCAACCCTCCTGTCCCATCACATCACTAACACTGCTCTCACAAGTCCGCAATGTCTACATTTATTCCAACAGACAGTCTGTCCTGACCTCCGACTGCTCCCCCTACCTGCCATCCCTTACCCTTTCTCACTTTGATGCTTTGTTAATGACAACACACTTTAAGCTTTGGCTCAGATATGACATCCTTCAGAAAGTCTTATCTGATTCCTCAAGTTGGGCCACATGTCTCTCATGCTTTCAGGATAGATTACATGTGTGCAGTTTTTCTACTGTAATACACACTACAGTCCAGTCACACAGAGCACAGTCACAGCTTAGCTATCTGCAGCTGAATACCTGGAAAGCAGGCTATATGCTACTTACTGGGTTAGCTCCTGGGTTAGCTATCAAGGGAGCAGGTTAGTTGTCAACAGATGGAACCTATTTGTAAAAGATCATTCCCTCACTATTCAATGTCCCATACAACCTCAAAAATGTACGGTCTCAGGGCTGGAGAGATGGCTCAGCGGTTAAGAGCACTAACTACTCTTCCAGAGATCCTGAGTTCAATTCCCAGCAACTACATGGTAACAGGATCCAATGCATTCTTCTGGTGTGTCTGAAGACAGTGACAGCATAATCATATAAAATATAAACAAATAAATCTTTTTAAAAATATACACAATCTCTACTGGCAGATGTAGCCACTTATCCCGGGATTTCATCAATTAGTAGAATGTCACACACGAAGTGGGAGATCAGTGAAAGCTGTGGAATAAAGTGTGAGCAAATGAGATGATACCTTATGTTTCCCAATGTTCTAATCACACACAGAATGTGAATGCAAGTAATTATCACTGGCACAAAACTTACTCTTGCCAAATTCTACAACAGTGATTCCTGGCAAGCGTACCCAGTGACAAGGACACAACCATCACAGGAGGAAAGTGACAAAAGGACAAGCGCCACTGTATGGTGTCACTGTGTGACATCACTGTGTAAGTGTACGCATCTTGTGCCATCATCACACTGTGATTCTAAAGAAAGATTGCCAATATAAAAACTAAGCATCAATCAACTCTTACTTTTCCAAAGGGCTAGTCATTTTTTTCAAGTTTCTATGAAATCGTAAGGCTTGAATATCCTGTGTCTCTATTTTAGGAGGTAAAAGTCCTTGAAGACCAAGCATTTGTCGTTCTTGTAATGTAAACGCCATCCCCTAAAAACAGAAGTAAAGAATTAAAATTAGTACTAACTACAGCAGCAATAGCACTGTCCTTTAAAATACAATTCAAGTGCAAATTCTAAAAAAGTAAAATATACTTTCCAGGAATTTCAAAATGCTTTAAGATTGATGACATTACATACTAATGAACATATGTAAAGAGTTACCTCTTACAGGGAAATGTAATCTAATGTAAGCTTCTGGAAAACAGCCTAAAATGTCTTTTTTGGGTTTTTTTGATATAGAGTCTCTGCATACCCCTGAAACTTGTTCTATAAACCTGGAAGACCTCGAACTCGAGATCTGCCTGCCTCTGCCTCTCTAGTGCTAGGATTAAAGGCGTGCACCACCACCCTGGCTACACTTAAATACTTTAATGCACACATATGTACTTAAGCAATATGACCTGCACATAGCCAATCCAGAGAAATATCCAGATAGACAGAGAATGCAGAGGTATGTAACAGTACTCATTCTAACAATGCTCCCCTAACAGTGCTCCCTAGATCTCTTGCCTATCACAGACTAAAAGTCCATCACTATGCAATAAGGAATCTACCGTATGAATACTTCATGAATACTTCAGAGTTGCCAATCAAAGCACACTGTTAACCCATTTATGCTTAGAAAACATTCATAAAGCCTCATGTTATGTACAGATGCATGCTACACATAAATGAAAACAACAACGTACAGCTAAAAATCAGGCTATGTCAGAACATTCAACTTCCAGTTTTAAGCTGAAGGATAAATTATATTAAAATGAACCCAGCAATATGCTTGGGTATGGATTTCTAAAAATCCTCCATAAAAGGGATGAAAGCATTCTCCAAATGATCAGAATCAATTTTTTTCTTAGTTCTGGAAAATAACTAAAAGCTTACAACAATCAAGGAGCATTTGACTAAGAAAAGCGGCTGGCCTTAGTTTCAGGCAACTGCTTGAAACACTGTATAATGCCCAGAGTAAACAAGAAGCTAACCAGAAAACTGAAGAGGAAAAAGCTTAAGTAAGAAAACGTCCATAGAAGTGAGGCGCTGCAAAGCTCTGACGTATTTAGGGGAATACGACATCCTGGAAAGACTTCAAAGAGCTAGAAGCAAACCTGGAATCTACATGAGCAGGAGGTACAAGCTGTGTCTCAGTGGTGCAGGCATGCACACACCACGCAGCAGAGCCCTTAGAAAAGCATGGAGGGCTGAACGGTTCTAGCTCCAGACATTTAAGTACTTGTCTAATCATTAGCTGACCTCCAAACTAACCGGAGACTTCATTAGACACACATAACAAAAATACACACTTTAAATGTTACCATGAAGTAGAACTTGAGACATAGCTCAGTGGTAGAGGCTTGCTTAGCATATATAAGGCTCAAGTTTGATACCCAGAGCTGGGATTGGAAGACAAAGAGAAAGAAAGAAAAGAGAGAAAAGGAAATATCTATCAGTTTAAGGAGCAAGGTATACCATGCTAGAGAGATGGGTCAGCAGGTAAGAGGCCCCACTGCTCTCCAGAGAACTAAAGCTCAACTCTCAGCCCCCACACCAAGAGGCTCACAACCACTTGTAACAGCTCCAAGGATTCTGACACCATTGCCTCTGCAAGCACCCTCACACACATGCACAAACCCACAGACAGACAGAAACACACACACACACAAAAATAAGTAAATAAGTAAAGTAAGTAAACCCAACAGATTCACAAAATGGCTGCCATAAGACATTTAAAAAGATACAAAGTAGAGAATGGTGTTGCCCCAAAGAAACAGAGAATAAAAAGATAAAAACTCATGGAAACATGATCTTAAGATAGGCAGAACACAAAAAAACTGGTGATGCCATAGGAACAGGGGCTAAAAAAACTGCTGCCAGGTTTCAGAGGAATGACTCTCTCCATGCTGGTGTGAGAGGTCACTGGTGTTCAGCTCTGGCTTGCTCTGTAATGTGTCTAGGTGTTGATCCAGAGTCTCCGAACATGCTATGCTGGCGATCTCCCATTATACTACATCTCTGGTCCTGAACTAGAAATGAGTTACAGGTTAAAGAGCAAGTGAGATTTGGAGTAAAAAAAAAAAAAAGAGATGGCCTTCACGAAGCTTCCTTTAACCGGTGGCCTGTGCAACTCTCTGGCCAGCATCAAGCATGCTAACAAGAGGAGTACCAGCACCTAACATTATTTTGCAGCCCGAAACTCCTATAAACACATTATATTAAACAGCTCCTATTTTTTCTCTCATAATAATAATAATAAAAATAAAGACATACTGGCAAAATTTTTTATGGAAAGTCTTTTAAAATAGATCACACCTTTAATCTCAATGCACCACTTCCCAAAAGACATATTTCATATATTGTGATAACCTCTATGGACATCAAGATTTTTCTAAGAAATATTCTGTCAGAATTACATTTCAAAAATATTTTGTGTATGTACTTACTCAGGGCTGCATTTTATTAATGTTGTCTTTGTGGTGCTGAGTACTGAATCCAGGAACACGGTAGCATGCACTCCACCACTGAGCTATTCCCAACCACTCTTGCCAGACACCTAACCACAAGCCAGGCACGAGGCAGAGCACACCAAAACCCGTTTCATTCCCTCCATTCGAAGCATCAGCAAGCAGGCACCATTGCTCCACCACTTTTTTCAGAACACACGAGGTGAGTTGCCAAGAGAGCTTACTCAGATGCCAGTGTCATACAGTAAATAAATCTCAGAACAGGAGTCAAAACCCAAAGTCCAACCCTACAGACCCTGTTTAGTATTTAATATGACTACTAAATACTAAGCAGGATTCGCCTGCTGAGCCCAGCTTACACAGAGATGAAGGCATGCCAGGCTGGATCTTCCACTGATATGACTTCTGTCCTATGAGCGATAATCTCAAAGTCAAGGCAATTTCTCCTTTGTAGCATTTGCTGAATTGAAGGCCAAAAATGTGTACAATGATTTGTGTCCAAAATGATGGGTGTGAAACGGAGGGGCAATAAAGGTTTCATTTCACAGTTTTACCCAACCATCTAAAGGCCTAATCGTCCTGGGGTGAGTCACTGACTCAAGCTAGGTAAATCTACCAAACCCTCTTGCCAAACGTCCTGGCCATAGCACAGCTACAGAGCTATCGAATGCAAAACGTTCAAGCCTAGTCAGTCTAAAAGCACAGCCCTAACCAGGAAGACCAACATGTTAGTGCTGTTGATGTTACTAACCTTGTTTGTTCTTGGATTTAACATGAGCGGCTTGCCTTTCTCCTTCAGGTGCACTCGGCGGCAGGTCAAAGTGCAAGGAGTGGTAACAGCTCTTAACCGGGAAAACATCTTCTCTCTCCTGGAAAACCAAGCAATGGTAAGAAACACAGCACCACACGCCTTAAGCATTTTCAAAAGCAGACATGGACGCTCATTGCATACTGAAAAATGCTTCAGTGTAAAGGCATCACGGAGAGAGACCTACCAGCTGTATGGCTCATCCACACAGCAGGAGCCACTATTTTATTCAAGTATGTAGGTGGTAGTATGGTTTGTATATGTGCAGCCTCAGGGAGTGGCACTATTAGAAGATGTGGCCTTGTTGGAGTAGGTGTGGCCTTGCTGAAGTAGTTGTGTCACTGTGGGTGTGGGCTTACAAGACCCTCATCCTAGCTGCCTGGAAGCCAGTCTTCCACTAGCAGCCTTTAGATGAAGATGTAGAACTCTCAGCTCCTCCTGCACCATGCCTGCCTGGACGCTGCCATGCTCTTCCCCTGGTGATAAGGGACTGAACCTCTGACCTGTAAGCCAGCCCCCATTAAGTGGTATCCTTATAAGGGTTGCCTTGGTCATGGTGCCTGTTCACAGCAGTAAAACCCTAACTAAGACAGGTGGAGAGATAGGAGACAGAGAAGCAGGATGGTTTCAGCACTATGAAGAGAGGTGGAACTGGAGACTCAAGGGTGAAAAGGAACAGCCTCATGTGAGAAGCTTCCCCTGTCACCTGAGGCCATGACAAAATACTGGCTTGTGTTGAGGGCCATGTCTGGATCTGCATCCAGACAGTAGCCTGTATCAATATCCACGGCCCATATTACCACCAAAGGTCTCTGAATGTCCCTGTTGCCTGGGAACATGCTGATATCTAAGGACAGTGCAAAGCTGGCCTGGTCCCCCACTGGCTGTGGCACTTGGGAAAGCGTGCCCTGCACCTTGCCTGAGCAGCCCAGCAGAGCTGAGCCTGGAGGTGTGGGTGCTGGTGAGCCACTGGAGGCCATGAGAGCTGGCCCCATCAGGGCAGTGCTAGAGAACCCTCCCTGGTGCTGTGAATGAGGAAGAGCTAGCGGGCTGACCAACTCAGCTTCCATGCAGGCCCAGATCAGGGCTTTGAGTTGGCCCACCCCAACAGCTACCCCAGTTATATACTGTACTACTGGAGTTCATTAAGAGGCCAGTTCTACAGATCCAAAGCTGCAGGATCTCCAAGACAAGGGGCAACAACAGGATATCCGAGAAGACTCCCCATGAGGATCCAGTATTGATGGTATAGCAGAAACCACAGGTCCCAAACTAGACCAATGACTCAGTGCAACAAACAGTTGCAAGCAAAGATGTGTAGACAAAAAGGAAGGGTATATACTGAGCAACACTGCGGCATTCACAAGATTTCTGTTCTATTTTTTTTTGGGGGGGGGGGGGGGTTGGAGTTTACAATGGCCAAGGGCAGATACAAAGGACAGGAAGATGAGTGGAATTAGGGTGAATAACGTGAAACTCACAAAGAGTCAATACAAAGTTTTGTAAAAGGGTACCACTGAGACAGCTGACATCACTGAGACACTACTGACGGTAGAGATTTCTATTTCTTGACCTTGGTAACTGAGCTATACTTCACTGTCAACTTGACTGAAATCAGAATCACCCAGGAGACACACCTCTAGGTGTCTGTGAGCCCATTTCTAGAAAGGTTCAGTGGGAAAGCTCTACCCTGCATGGGTGACACCCTGGCATGGGCTAGGGTCCTGGACCGGAAAAAAAACAAAAAAGGCATAAAAAGATGAAACCAGCCTTCATCTTCCTTGCCTTCCTTGGTCCCAGCCACAAGTTCCTCTTGCTGTCATGAACTCTGCCAGGTTTTCCTGCCACGATGGTCCTAACCCAAGATAAAGCCCTCTCCTTTTAAGTTTTTTGTTGTTGTTGTTGTTTTTGTTTTTTTTTGGTTAGGCTTTGATCACAGCAACAAAAGAAAGCAAATATACAGTAAGCACAGGTGTCATATTCCATTTCAAATGCATGTTACAAAGTTACAGGTGGAAAGGGTATGATACATGTGTAAAATACATCTTCTGAAATTATTTCAAAAAAGAAATGTATACAGTAGTGTTAAATGTGCCAGCAAATGCTGAAATAACCATCGATTTGATTCTAAGACCTTAAGGAAGGCTGAAATGGCACTGCATACAAAGCTGGAGTTATGAAGCTACAGGGAAGGCTCAGACATAGAGCTCTTGGTTGTCTAGACGGTGATGCTACGGAAAGGCTTTCCGCTTCTCTACTTATCTTTTCAAGCTTCCTACCAAACAGGAAGAGCCTTTGCTAAGCAGAAGTTCAAAGCCAATGGAGCACTTAACTAAGCAATAAAACAAAAACACAGCTTGATCAACTTAAAATAAAATTCCTAAAGAACAACCATAAAATACGACATTTAAATAAAGCTCTTGTTCCAGTTTTCACAGATGTTACAGGGACAGTGTGGTGTTCTTGGATTTACTTTCCTCCCAGTTTTTGGTTTCTCCTCCTGCTTTCCACAGGAGATGATCCCAAAACAAAAAGAATTCTCTAGTGAAGAAAAATGCATACCACACTTTAAATTTTACCATCAAAGAAGACACTGGCTTCAAAGTGTGGCGGGACTATACTGTTTTATTGGCAAAGCAATATTGTTTTATGGTATTTAGTGTAGGTTGGCAATCAAAGATGTTTTTCTAAAAACAACAGGCTATGTATGGCCTGTTCGTACAGGGTCCTTAACCCTGAGAATGAGTTTCACATTTTTATAGGGTTA